CCGACCGACGGTCTGCACGGCACGCTGTGCGACGTTCAAGGTACTCTTGCTGTTTTGACTAAGTCCTTCTTGATCCCTCTCTCTACAAACTCGGACCCGAGGATAGGGGCTGGTCTTGTACCAGGCACCCAGGGACCCTTGGAGGTGACCCCGAGGAGAGGTTTTAAGTTTGATTAAGTCCTAATAGCTTGAGTTTATTAGGCCCTTACACTAACAAGCAACTGCAAGGGCGTAGTAGTGTTAGTGGGCCGCCTGGTTGGGGGCGCCAAGCAGGTCGACGCCGACCTGGGCGTCTGCCCGGCTGGGCGCCTGAACGCCGACTTGGGCGTCTGCTCGGCGTCCTGGGAGGCTGGACGCCGACCTGATGGTCTGCTCGGCGTCCCGGCGTCTGGACGCCGACCAGGGCCTTTGGACGGCGTCCCGGACGAGTGGACGCCGACCTGGACGCCAGGACGCCGACCTGGGGACGCCGGGCTTGGCATAGTCGGGGACCGAATGGGCTGGGCGACCAGGCGGGGTTGCCTCGTCGACCGGGATACCCGGGCGACATGTGCGAAGGTCGCCGGGGGCAGTTCTGTGAGGACGACCTCGGGGGTGGTATCCCGAGGTCGACGTGGCTGATGGGCGCCGTCACGAGCGGGAATGTCTGCGCTGGGCACGTGACGGGGAGTTGGACGCCAACCAGCCGCGCACACCTGCGAAGCAGGTGCACCGTTGTCCTGCGGGTGCAACGCTGTGCAGCCGACTTGCTGCAGCGTTGGCACATCGTGGACATGCAACGTTGGCGCGCCGCATCTCTGCCGCGCTGGAGCGGTGCGAGCATTGCTGCGCTGGATCGCGGTCGACCGTGCTGCGCTGGAGGTCGACCAGCAGCTGTGCTAGCTCTGATGTAGTGATGCATGCCAATGTTGTTGCAATCATTCTGAACCTTTGTTGCTATGTTTTCCTAGTGGAACTCTTGCCAAATCTCCCAGAAAACTAGTAGTGTGCGCATAAGGAAACGACTAAGGAACGAACGCAGAGATCACATGAGCACTCGTGCCTAGCCCGTAGTCTAGCTCCCGTTGCAGCAGTTATCTCCGCAGCCAATGCTGCAAGTCGACGGCGTGCCAACGTCGCAGGTTGACGGCGTGCCAACGTTGCTCCCGCATGACAGTAGCGCACCCGCTTCGCAGGTGCTTGCAGATGATTGGCGTGCATTGCATACGCCAAGTCAACTTCGTGCTGACGACTACTTCTGATCAGCCACGTCGACCTCGGGATACCACGATCGAGGTCGTCCTCGCCAACATCGCCTGGGCGACCGTCGCGTGCCTCCGCAGAGCCTTGTCACGCAGGTAACCTGGTTGACCGGGCAACCACGTCGACCAGCTGCTCCTGTATGTGCCGGTCGACCTCAAAGTCGACGGCCACCTGCAGTCGACCTCACGGGGTCAACCACTGCCCCTGGTCGACCAGCTCTAAGTCGACGTCACTCCTGGTCGACCAGCTCCTCGTCGACCAGCGACGTTGTCAGCCGACGTCGGCCCCTCATTCGTCGACCACAATGTTCGGTCGACCACCAGGTCGACCTCACGCCTGGTCGACCAACCACCAACTCGACTAGTAGGCCTAGTCGACCAACCAAGTCGACCAGAAGGCCTGGTCGACCAACCAGGTCGACCAGCAGTTCTGTCAGCCGACCACCCAAGTCGGCTGCCCCAAGTTGGCGTCACCAAGTCGACGCCCTCCGCAGGTCGACTTCCCAGGTCGACCTCCCTGAATCCGGCGCCATCCTGAACTCGGCGCCCATGCAGTGGCACCCGTGCAGGTCGACTTCCTCGTCGACCAGCTCGCCCACTGCTGCAGGTCGGCTACACCCCTACACCCGACCACGAAGTTGGCTCCGCCCAAGCGAGGACGGGGCCAACATACAACTCCCGTTGACAAGGGGGAGTGTGTTAGGTGCAAATTCACATTGCACGACATCCTGCCGTCTGTCTGTATTTCTAATAAAGATAGGGGCTGGTCGCGGGGTGACGTCAGAGGTCGATGAAGTGGATCTTTACGATGTTGGCAACCCAGGTGACAGCAGGCGGGATTGCACCGAGCTACGGCTACTTCAAGTTTACGCCGGATAGGATCTTGGTCACTCCCCTGCTGGTCGATTGACCCGACATTCTCACCTGGAAGGAAGTTATCTAGCCCCAGCTGGAGATGGCCGGGCTGATCAACTTTGCTCGCGGTACCGTGGCGACGCCGGATGACCCCGACTTGCGTGCAGAGTTTCGGAGAAAAGACGTAAAGACATGGTTACTCTTACCACGCAGCCCATCCGCAGTTGATGGCGCTAAGAGTACGTGCGTTACTTACCCATATGGTTGGTACTAAGAATAAGTGCGTTACTTACCCATATGGATGATACTAAGAGTAAGTGCGTTACTTACCCATGTGGATGGTACCAAGAGTAAGTGCGTTACTTACCATGTCGATGGTGCTAAAAGTGCGTTATTTAACCATGTGAATGGTGCTAATAGTATATGCGTTACTTAACCATGTGGGTGGTACTAAGCAAAGTGCGTTACTTACCCATGTACATGGTGCTAAGAATATGTGTGTTAGTTAACCATGTGGATGGTACTAATAGTAAGTGCGTTACTTACCCGTGTGGATGGTACTAAGAGTAAATGCGTTACTTACCCATGTGGATTGTACATAGAGTAAGTGGATTACTTACCCATATGGATGGTACTAGGAGTAAGTGCGTTACTTACCCATATGGTAGGTGGTACTAAGAGTAAGCGCGTTACTTACCCATGTGGATGGTGCTAAGAGTAAATGGGTTACTTAACTATATGGATGGTACTAGAAGTAAGTGCGTTACTTACCCATGTAGGTAGTACTAGGAGTAAGTGCGTTATTTTCCCATGCGGATGGTGCTAAGAGTATGTGCGTTACTAAACCATATGGATGGTGCTAAGAGTATATGTGTTACTTAACCATGTGGATGGTACTAAGAGTAAGTGCGTTACTAACCATTGTGCATGGTGCTTAGAGTATGTGTGTTAAGTAACTAGATGGCTGGTTCTAATAGTAAGTGCGTTACTTATCCATCTGGATGGTACTAAGAATTTGTGCGTTATTTAACCATGTGGATGGTACTAAGAAGAAGTGCGCTACTTACCCATCTGGATGGTACTAAGAGTAATACGTTACTTACCCATATGGATTGTAGAAATTTTAAATGCGCTACTTACCAATGTGGATGGTACTAGAAATAAGTGTGATACTTACCCATGTGGATGGTACTAAGAGTAATTGCGTTACTTACCCATATGGATTGTACATAGAGTAAGTGCGTTACTTACCCATGTAGATGGTACTAAGAGTAGCCGCGTTACTTACCCATGTGGATGGTGCTAAGAGTAAATGCATTACTTTACCATGTGGATGGTACTAAGAGTAAGTGCGTTACTTACCCATACGGATGGTACTAAGAGTATGTGCTATACTAAACCATCTGGATGGTGCTAACAGTATATGCGTCACTTAACTATGTAGATTGTACTAAGAGTAAGTGCGTTATTTACCCATGTGCATGGTGCTTTGAGTATGTGCGTTAGGTAAACGGGTGGCTGGTACTAATAGTAAGTGCGTTACTTACCCATATGGATGGTACTAAGAATTTGTGCGTTACTTAACCACGTGGATGGTACTAAGAAGATGTGCGCTACTTGTTGGGTGCAAATCCATTTTGCACGACATCCTGCCGTCTGTTTGTACGGAGTATGCGTGTGCGAATGCATTTGCGTGTGAATGGTGTGTTTGTATGTTTGTTTGCTTTCGCAATTTTCGCTTGAAGCATTTGCAGGTACTCGCGCAATGTGCGCTTCGGCACAACATTGTACGCGCTATGAACAGTGCAAGCCGAAAGGACGAGCTCGCAAAGGAACCCAAGATGGAAGCTTTGCAGTTCGGTTGAGTTGATTGTGCAGATTCAGTTCTATCCAACTCGAAATTGTACTGTTTTGTTTGGTTGAGTATAGTATAGCAAGGCAGGCACTATAGAGGTACAATTTATGTGATGGTTGGATGTTTTTTGTCTGTATCTGCATGCTACAAGGCCAGGGGAAACCAGCAGAACCAGCATTTGGCTGGTTGGGCAAAGACAAAACAGGTTCTGTTTTTAGAACCTGAACCTGGTTGTTGTTTTCCCAGGTTGGAAAAACAGAACCAGAGGTTGTTTTCCAACCTACCACCTGCTGTTTTGTCCAGCCAGGTTGGTTCTGTTGCTTGGAATTATTTGGGATCATCCCTGGTTGTTCTCTGTTCTCTGGTTTCATGCGAATTCCTTCCTCGCTGGAATTTCGTTTCTACGCGGTTCGACGGCGGAATGCTGCCCGAGTCAACGCTAGTATGCTAGCACTCCAACGCTAGGCAAACGCTGTCCAAGCCATAACTTCGTAATGGCAGAACTTTTCGCAAGGCAACTTGGCTTATTTTAAAGCACTTGGAGCGAGCTTCGATATAGAGAATTCTCAGCTTAATCTGATCGACGGTCTGCACGGCACGCTGCGCGACGTTCAAGGTACTCTTGCTGTTTTGACTAAGTCTCTCTTGATCCCTCTCTCTACAAACTCGGACCCGAGGATAGGGGCTGGTCTTGTACCAGGCTCCCAGGGACCCTTGGAGGTGACCCCGAGGAGAGGTTTTAAGTTTGATTAAGTCCTAATAGCTTGAGTTGATTAGGCCCTTACACCAACAAGCTGGTATCAGAGCTGCGTTATAGCGATCCTCATTGTAGGTACACCTCGGCAGGAGCTGGTGAATCTTCAGCCCAAGATCGTAGCAGCAGCCAAGATTCTGGTGTTTCGGCGCCAAGGGGAGCGCGAACAAACCAGGGCTCGCTGATCAAGGAGGTGCTGAAGAACTTCACCGTCGAGAAGTTCAATTGTGAGGGCTATGATGATTGGGCCTGGAAAATGCAACTCTACTTCCGTCAGATTGGATTGCTGAAACTAATGATTGGGGAGGAGCCTAGACCGAGTGACCCTGCCCTGCAGGAAGATTGGGACGAGCGTGCCTCGGCTGGCTACTACTTGATGTCGCAGAGTTTGGAGCTGAACCAGCGTCATCACGTCATGCACCTGCTGCCGGAGGTTGAGTGCGGTCCGAAGGCGTGGACGGTGTTGAAGGAGCTGCACGCCCCTACCTCCGTCGCTGCGACGCTCATGATGGAGAGGGAGCTGTCCGCGTTGCGCCTGAGCGAGGGAGAGCCGGTGCAACCCATCCTGGACAAGATGCGTGATCTCTACGCGAAGCTGGCGATCGCGGGAATCACCTACCCGGAGCAGACCAAGTGCCTGAAGATGCTCTCGCTGCTGCCAGAATCGTGGCTTCAATTCACGAGCGGATTGAGCTTGAAGCAGAACCAGAGCTTGTGGACGCTCGAGTGGGTGCAGACGAAGATTCTGGAGGAGGACTTCCGTCGCCGCCAACTGAGGGGTGGAGACGACGGCAGCAGCGGCTACGGGATGCAAGGGAGCCGACGTGGCAGAGGACGTGGCTTCAGTGGTGCTGGACGCGGTGCAAAGAAAGACGATGACTCCAACGACCAACAAGGAGGTACCGGTTGGGGTCGCGGTGCGAAATCTGGACGTGGGGGCAAGTCGGGTGCTGGTGGCAAAATGAAAGGGAGTTGCTGGTATTGTGAGAAAGAAGGGCACCCCTGGTTTTTGTGCTATAAGAAACTCGATGGATGGACCCCCCAGAATCGTCACCAGGATGGCGGCGCGCGGAGGAACCAGAAAAACGGCGCCAACATGGTCGCTGATTCGTCCGACAACAACCCGAAGGGCAACGGCGGTGCGGAGAAGAAGAAGGAGCGCACCGCGGGCCAATTCTTCCATGTGGGAGACAAAGGGGAGCAAGGAGACGCCTCTGCCAAAGTTGGAGCAGAGCTGCACCCCCTGGACTATTGGGTGTTGGACACAGGCGCTGCTTGGACGATGACGCCGCGCAAGGACCTGCTGGACGAAGTACGCGCTTCAATGAGGTGTGCTCCGCCTCTGGACACATGTTGAAGGTGGCTGGTGCGGGACGAGCTGCGTTTAAGGGAGCGGATGGCAAGCCGGTGGTGCTGCACGACGTTCTCCTCGTCCCCGACCTGAAGGCCAACCTTATCTCCCTCCGTAAGCTTGGCAAGGCTGGGGTGAACACCAACACGGATGGGGCACGCACTTATAAGGGGAAGCTGGGCAATCAAATGCTTTGGGATCTGCACGAGAGCAAGGACGTGTACAGATCTATGTGGCAGCTGCCGGCCCTGGCGTGGCATGGTGGGGGGCAGGCTGGAGAGGGGTCTGCATCCCAAGGGGAGTGCAACGCCATTGGATGGGTTGGTGTGAAAGTGTCGGCCAGATCTGGGGAGACAGATTGGGCAACGGCACACCGGCGCTTAGGGCATGTGGCAATGCCTTTGCTGAAGCAGCTGGAGAAGGATGGAGCCGTTCAGGATCTGAAACTGAACAAACAGCCACCCGATGAAAACTGTGAAATCTGTTTGCTCTCAAAGTTCACCCGTTTCCCCTTCCATAGTGTGGCTGGCAAGAGCAAGAAGCCGCTGGAGCTGGTCCACATGGACTTGGTGGGGCCGCTGTCGGTGCAAGGGCACAAGGGGGAGCGGTATTTTCTAACCATAGTGGATGACTGGAGCAGGCTAATGTGGGCGTATCCGCTGAAGCAGAAAGATCACGCCGCCTCCACGATTCGGGACGATTGGCTGCCGTTCGTGGAGAAGCAAGCGGAGTGTGTGGTGAAGCGGATCAGGACAGACCGGGGTGGTGAGTTCCTTGGAGCTGAGATGACGGCCTGGCTCAAGAAGCAGGGCATTCAGAGGGAGCTGTCCATTGCTTACACCCCACAGTCCAACGGTGTAGCAGAACGGGCGAACCGGACTATTCTAGAGACAGCTAGGGCGCTGCTCATAGAATCTGGGCTTGGAAACTTCATGTGGCCTCACGCTGTCCGGCACGCTACCGTCGCTAGGAACAGGGTACTCACCAAGGTTGGTAATGACTCGTGGGTGCCGTTGGAGAGGTGGCTTGGGAGGAAGCCGCCGGTGGACATGCTGAGGGTGTTTGGTTGCATGGCAGTCGCCCACGTCCCCAAGCCCTACCGCAGTAAGTTGGGGGCGAGTGCAATCTGGTGTGTGCATTTGGGACTGGCAGCTGAGAGCAAGGGATGGCTGCTGTGGGAACCATCCAAGGGTGTGTTTTTTGACAGCAGGGATGTGAAATTCATTGAGGGCATGATGTATGGGAGCTGGGAGAAACAACCAGAGGCAAGGGTGTACCAACAGATGGAGCAGATCACCATGCAGCTGGACCTGACTCCTAGTGTGTGGGAGGAGGGAGAGGAGGCAGCTGCGGGGAATGGTGATGGAGAAAATGTACAGGAGGCACCTGCTGGTGGAGGAGAGGCTGGCGATAGCACTAGTGAAGCTGCTGGATCCGAGGGAGGAAAGCAGCAGCAGGGGAAAGCTAAGAAGCCGAAGGGTGTCGTTATGAAGGGATGGGAGACACCCGTCTCCAGGCCAGGACGTACCCGTATGGCTACTAAGAAGCTGACTGCAGGATCAGGTGTAGCGGAGCAGCAGCTTGGGACCGAGGAGGCAATGCTGATTCTACCTCATGGCTATGACCCAGATGAGGAGGATGAACCTGCCTACTGTTTTATCGCCCCTGCACCAGAGGAACCAGCTAGCATGGAGGAGGCATTAGCTGGACCAGATAGGGACAAGTGGCTGGCTTCTAGGGATGCTGAGTACCAGAGCCTGCTGGAGAACGGGACTTGGGATCTAGTGGTGCTGCCTGAGGGAAAGAAAGCAGTACAGCAGGTGGGTGCTAAGGATCAAGACTGACGACAAGGGGCAGGTCACCATCTACAAGAGTAGGTTGGTGGCTAAGGGATTTATGCAGAAGGAGACGTGGGACTTCAATGAGATCTTTGCTCCCACTGCTAAACCCCCTACCCTTCGTGTCTTGTTGGCAGATGCAGCTGTTAGTGGGAAATTCATTATCCAGATGGATATATCAACGGCATTCCTCAACGGGATTTTAGAGGAGGAGGTGTTCATGACGCAGCCGCCTGGGTATGAGGATGGTACGGGCAGGGTGTGCAAGCTGAAAAAGTCCATCTACGGCTTGAAGCAGGCGCTATGCTGTTGGTACCAGAAGTTGGCAGCTGTTTTAGAGGAGATAGGGTTCAGGACCAGCAGCTGTGATGAGAGCCTCTTTCTCAAGGGGGAGGGGGAGGAGCTGGTGATGTTTCTGGTCTACGTGGACGACATTCTTCTCTTCAGCAGCAGCATGAAGGAGATCCAGAAAGTGCAGCAGCAGCTGATGGAGAACTTCAAGTGCAAGAACCTTGGGGAGGTAAAGTACTACCTCGGGATGCACGTGGAGAGGGATCTGGATCACAGGTGGTTGAAGCTGCACCAGGAGAAGTTCATCAAGGAGCTGGGGGAGAAGTGTGGGATTGAGAATAAGCGCAAGGTTGCAACTCCCCTGCCAGCAGAATTTAAGCTTGTGAAGGCTGCAGAAGATGAAGGGGTTGAAGCTGAAGAGCAGCAGCAATTTCAGTCCTCCGCATCTGCACAGATGAAGCAGAAAGGGGTTGAGGTGCTGAAGGAGAAGGGGGAGCGGCTTGGAGAAGGCAAGCTGTTTCTGACTTGCTTTACCGATGCTACATGGGCTTCTGAGAAGGAGGATTCCTCATCTGTGGGAGGATACATCTGCGTAGTTGGGATTCCTCATATGCGTAGACGGCACTCTCCTCTGTGGAATCAGAGTACATGGCGATGTTCCACGGGGTGAAGGAGGTGATTTGGCTGAGGAGGTTGTTAGAGGAGATTGGCCAGGAGCAGAAGGTTGCTACGCCGCTGTTTTGTGATAGCAAGGGGGCTCTTGGGATGGCCAGGAACGCTGTGCTTCATGGGCTGAACAAGCACATGTGTATCAAGTGGCACTGGCTACGTAAGGAGGTGAAGAGGGGGACTGTGAATCCGATCTACATCAAGACTCACCAGCAGCTAGCGGACTTTCTCACCAAGAGGCTTGCGGATAAGCCTCATTGGCGTTGTGTGCGCATGAGTGGAATAAGCATGAACTAGCATGGAATGATGGAAATGCAGCCGGCAGGCTGAGGGGGAGTGTATTGGGTGCAAATTCACTTTGCACGACATCCTGCCGTCTGTTTGTACGAGTATGCATGTGCGAATGCATTTGCGTGTGAATGGTGTGTTTGTATGTTTGTTTGCTTTCGCAATTTTCGCTTGAAGCATTTGCAGGTACTCGCGCAATGTGCGCTTCGGCACAACATTGTATGCGCTATGAACAGTGCAAGCAGAAAGGACGAGCTCGCAAAGGAACCCAAGATGGAAGCTTTGCGGTTCGGTTGAGTTGATTGCGCAGATTCAGTTCTATCCAACTCGAAATTGTACTGTTTTGTTTGGTTGACTATAGTGTAGCAGGGCAGGCACTATAGGGGTACAATTTAGGTGAAGGTTGGATATTGTTTGTCTGTATCTGCATGCTACAAGGCCAGGGGAAACCAGCAGAACCAGCATTTGGCTGGTTGGGCAAAGACAAAACAGGTTCTGTTTTTAGAACCTGAACCTGGTTGTTGTTTTCCCAGGTTGGAAAAACAGAACCAGAGGTTGTTTTCCAACCTACCACCTGCTGTTTTGTCCAGCCAGGTTGGTTCTGTTGCTTGGAATTATTTGGGATCATCCCTGGTTGTTCCCAGGTTGATTCCCAAGGCCCTTGCTAGCTATAGCTATTTATTCCTTCTCTGTTTGTACCTGGATATAGTCAATTTGATTCAAGCGAATTCCTTCCTCGCTGGAATTTCATTTCTGCGCTATTCGACGGCGGAATGCTACCCGAGTCAATGCTAGTACGGTGGCACTCCAACGCTAGGCAAACGCTGTCCAAGCCATAACTTCGTAATGGCAGAACTTTTCGTGAGGCAACTTGGCTTATTTTAAAGCTCTTGGAGCGAGCTTCGATATAGAGAATTCTCAGCTTAATCCGATCGACGGTCTGCACGGCACGCTGCGCGACGTTCAAGGTACTCTTGCTGTTTTGACTAAGTCTCTCTTGATCCCTCTCTCTACAAACTTGGACCCGAGGATAGGGGCTGGTCTTGTACCAGGCTCCCAGGGACCCTTGGAGGTGACCCCGAGGAGAGGTTTTAAGTTTGATTAAGTCCTAATAGCTTGAGTTTATTAGGCCCTTACACCAACACTACTTACCCATGTGGATGGTACTAAGAGTAATTGCGTTACTTACCCATATGGATTGTACCAAGAGTAAGTGCGTTACTTACCCATATGGATGGTACTAGAAATAAGTGAGTTACTTACCTATGTAGATGGTACTAAGAGTAAGCGCGTTACTTACCCATATGGATGATGCTAAGAATACATAGGTTACTAAACCATATGAATGGTTGTAAGAGTAAGTGCATTACTTACCCATGCGAATGGTGCTAAGAGTATGCGCGTTACTTAACCATGTGGATAGAGCTTAGAGTATTTGCGTTATTTAACCATATGGATGGTAGTAAGAGTGAGTGCGGTACTTACCCATGCGGATGATGCTAAGTATATGTACGTTACTTAACCATGTGGATAGTGCTAAGAATAAGTGCGTTACCTACCCATGCGGATGGTGCTAAGTGTATGTGCGTTACTTAACCATGTAGATGATGCTAAGAATATATGCGTTATTTAACCATGTGGAAGGTACTAAGAGTAAGTGCGTTACTTACCCATGTGCAGGGTACAATTATTTTGTGCATGGATGGAATTAAGAGGAAGTGCATGAATTACCTATATGGATGGTACTTAGAGTAAGCAAGTGGATGATACTTAGAGTATGTGAGTTATTATCCATGTGGATGGTACTAAGAGTAAGTGCATTACTTATCGATGTGGATCTTACTAACAGTAAGCACGTTACCCATGTGGATGGTACTAATAGTAAGTGCGTGATTTACACATGTGGATTGTGCTACGAATAAGTGCATTACTTACCCATATGGATGGTATCACTAAGTGTACATGCATTACTTATACATATGGATGGTAGTAGAAGGAAGTGTGTTGTTTACCGATGTGGATGGTACTAAGAATAAGTGCGTTACTTAGCCATATAAGTGGTACAAAGAGTACGTGCGATACTGACCCATGCGAATGGTACTAAGAATATGTGCGTTACTTTCCCATGTAAGTAGGTACGTTAGTAACCCATATGATGGTACTAGGAGTAAGTGCGTTAATTGCCCATGTAAATGGTGCTAAAAATTTGTGCATTGCTGAACCATGTGGAGTACTAAAAGGACGTGTTATATTTACCGATGTAGATGGTTAAAAGTTTAGGTGCGTTACTTAACCATGTGTATGGAACTAAGTGTAAGGGCGTTACTTCATCATATGGATGGTAGTAAAAGTAAATGTATTACTTACCATGTGGATAGTACTAAAATCATGTGCATTACTCAACCATATGGATGGTACTAAGAGTAAGTACGTTACATAACCATGTGAATGGTACTAAGATTTAAGTGTGTTACTTACCCATGTGGATGGTACTAAGAGCTGTGGTTTTTAACAATGTGGATGATACTTAATGTTAGTGCATTTAACCATGTGGATGGTACTAAAAGTGAGTGCGTTACTTACCCATGACGATGGTGCTAAAATTATAAGCATTACTTAACCATGTGGATAGTATGTGCATGGTGCTAAGAGTATGTGTGTTAGTAAACTATGTATATGGTTATACTAGTAAGCACCTTCCTCACTAATATGGATGATACTAAGAGTAAATGCGTTACAAATCCATGGGGATTGTACATAGTGTAACTGCGTTACTTAGCCATGTCGATGGTACTAGAAGTAAGTGCATTACTTAACCATGTACGTGGTACTAAGAGTAAGGGAGTTACTTACCAATGTGGATGATGCTAAGAGTATGCGTTACTTAACCATGTGGATGGTACTAAGATGCCAGGACCAGAGTAATGATTAAAAGGGACAGTTGGGGGCATTCGTATTTCATTGTCAGAGGTGAAATTCTTGGATTTATGAAAGACGAACCACTGCGAAAGCATTTGCCAAGGATGTCTTCGTTAATCAAGAACGAAAGTTGGGGGCTCGAAGACGATTAGATACCGTCCTAGTCTCAACCATAAACGATGCCGACTAGGGATCGGTGGATGTTACATCCACGATGCCTTGAGAGAAATCAAAGTCTCTGGGTTCCGGGGGGAGTATGGTCGCAAGGCTGAAACTCCACCGCGGTGGGAGCGAGCTCCTTTTCCCGCGGCCTCGACCGGCGCTGCGTACCTCCGGGCCCCGCGTGAACGGGTCCCGCAGGTTTGCTTGGGCTCATGCGCTTTTCTTCCTGCCGATTTCAAGCACTTTTTACTCGCTTTCCAAAGTTCTTTTCATCTTTCCCTCGCGGTACTTGTTCGCTATCGGAAACCTGGCCGTATTTAGCCTTGGATGGAGCTTACCACCCATGTTGGGGCTGCACTCCCAAGCAACCCGACTCTTCGGATGCGCCTCGTGAAGTGACGGGTCGTCGCCCGACGGGGGTGTCACCCTCTCTGCCGCCACTTTCCAGTGGACTTGAGGCGGCGCCCGTCACAGAGAACGCTTCCTTTTTAGACTATAATTCGGAGGGCCGGAGGCCCTCGGATTTCAAGCCTGGGCTTTTCCTTGGTCGCTCGCCGCTACCAAAGGAATCACGGTTGTTTTCTTTTCCTCCGCTTAGTAATATGCTTAAATTCAGCGGGTGGTCTCGCCTGACTTGAAGCCATCGTTTGGGAGTTCGCCCGGTTCTTCCCCGGTCCGACCATTTTTAGTACGAGCCCCGTCCGCCCCTCGCCCGGTCCGTGCGCGCTACTTTGGAGGGCGGAGACCGAGGGTTGCCACGCCCTCGGACTCCATTTCTCCGTACCCTTTCGGGTCGGCGCTGGCGAAACGGGCTGATGCGACCCGTCTTGAAACACGGACCAAGGAGGCCAACGCGGCTGCGAGCCAATGGGTTGAAAACCACAATGGCGACAGTGAAAGCGACCCGTGAGAAGGCGGCCTCGTGCTACCCGCAACACGGACCGCCCCGGGGGCCTCGGCGCCCGGGGTGCGTTGAGTAGTCGCGTTGGGACCCGAAAGATGGTGAACTATGCCTGAGCAGGGCGAAGCCAGAGGAAACTCTGGTGGAGGCCCGCAGCGCTACTGACGTGCAAATCGTTCGTCAGACTTGGGTATAGGGGCGAAAGACTAATCGAACCGAAAGCCGGGTTACGGTGCCTAACTACGCGCTAACCTAGATCCCACAAAGGGTGTTGATTGATTAAGACAGCAGGACGGTGGTCATGGAAGTCGAAATCCACTGAGTGTGTAATGTAACGTAAACCCTAAACTTCTAAAGATAAATCCCATGATCTTGGTAAGGTAGGTTTGAGTTTACCCTCGGGTTATTTATAAGAGGGTCGGTACTTGTGGAGGGTATTTTACTAAGGTTTACCCTTTATTCTTGTGCATGTAGTTTGGGATTGCATTAAGGAGGATGGCTTGGACATAAGAAAGGTTCCTTGGGAATAAGAGTAAGAGGAAGGTTCCTTGGAAGGTAGCTGGTTGGAAGCTCCATTGGTGGAAGCTAGGAAGGATCTATTGGGGAAGGAGCATGGAAGAAGCATGGAAGGGGAATGAGGAAGGCATTAAGGAAGGTTATATGGTGGGGATTTCCTTAGAAATATGGGTGAGCTCAACGGAGCACCCTCATTGGTTAGTTGGATTGCTAGGATCCTCGGCCAATAGGGAAAGAATTCCTAAGGTTGCTTGAATAAGATAGAAGGATAGTGGTTTGGGTATGCCCTTCCACTATATAAGTCCTTGTAGGTTGTGTGTAGCTCATATCATTCGTAGTGCATTCTTACCAATGCCACAAGCTCTCTCAACCTTCTAGCTACCTTGGTGCCTAGCCCTCTCAATCTACCTTGGAGTACCCTTGGAGTCTACCTTTGGAGGAGCACCCTACTAGTGGAGAAGTGCCCAAGGAGAGGGCTGCAACTCTACAGGGGAGGAAGTGCTGGCCAAGAGAAGGGTGTCTCGTACTACAAGGAAGAGAGAGAAGGAGGAAGGTCAGAAAGTTTCAAAAGTTAGTGATTTGAAGTTACAGTAACAACTCACCTGCCAAATCAATTAGCCCCGAAAATGGATGGCGCTCAAATGTGTGACCTATACCCGGCCGCACCCGGCTGCTGGTGAGCCGGTGCGAGTAGGAGGGCGCGGTGGGACGCATCGAAGCGTGCGCGTGAGCGCGCGTGGAGCTCCCGATCGCTGCGGGGTTTGGAATTAGTACCAAATATTCAAATGAGAACTTTGAAAACTAAGGTGGAGAAAGGTTTCATGTGAACAGCAGTTGCACATGGGTTAGTCGATCCTAAGAGATGGGGTAACTCCTTGAGAACGGCGCGGTTCTCCCCGCGCCGCCCATCGAAAGGGAATCGGGTCAAAATTACCAAACCGGGGACGTGGCAGCTGGCGGCAACGCGAGCGAATCCGGTTACGTCGGCGGGGGCTCCGGGGAAGAGATGTCTTTTCTTTTTCACAGCTCGATGGCCCTGAAATCGGCTTGCACGGAGATAGGGCCTGCGCAGCTGGTAAAGCACCGCACGTCTCGCGGTGTCCGGACCGCCCCCAACGGCCCTTGAAAAGCCGGAGGAGCGAATACTGCTCACGCACGGTCGTACTCATAACCGCATCAGGTCGATTACTTACCCATGCGGATGGTGCTAAGAGTATGTGCGTTACTTAACCATGTGGATGGTACTGATTGAAACTGCATGAATCACCCATAATGATGGTACTAAAGGTAAGTGCGTTATTTACCCATATAGATGGTACTATGAGAAAGCGCGTTACTTACCCATGTGGATGGCACTAAGAGTAAGTGTGCTACTTAACCATATGGATGGTACTAGAAGTAAGTGCGCTGTTTACCGATGTGCATGAAACTAAGAGTAATTATGTTACTTACTCATGTGGATGGTACTAAAAGTAAGTGCGTTACTTACCCATGTGGATGGTGCTAAGCCTATGCGTATTACTTAACCATGTGAATGGTACGAACAATAAGTACGTTCTTTAACCATGTGGATGGTACTAAAAGTATGTGCGTTACTTATCCATGTGGATGGTACTAAAAGTAAGCGCATTACTTACCCATGTGGATGGCACTAAGAGTAAGTGCGTTACTTACCTATGTGCATGGTGCTAATATTATGTGCATGATTTAACCATGTGGATGGTACTAAAAATAAGTTCGTCATTTACTCATGTGGATGGTGCTACGAGAAAGTGCATTACTTACCTATATAGATGGTACTTTGTGTACGTGCGTTACTTACACATATGGATGGTAGTAGAAGGATGTGCATTGTTTACCGTTGTTGATGGTACTAAGATTCATTGCGTTGTAGTTGGTTCTAAGAGTAAGTGCTTTACTTAACCATGTGGATGATACTAAGAGTTTGTGAGGTACTTACCCATGTGAATGGTACTAAGAATATATGCGTTACTTTCCCGTGTGGATGGTACTAAAAGTAGGTGCAATACTTATCCATATGATGGTATTAAGAGTATGTGTGTTACTTGCCCATGTAGATGGTATTTAAATTTTGTGCGTTGCTTAACCATGTGGATGGTACTAAAAGTACATGCGTTATTTATTGATGTGGATGGTAGTAAGTGTAAGTGGGTTACTTAACCATCTGCATGGTACTAAGTGTAAGGGCGTTACTTACCCGTGTCGGTTGTACTAAGAATAAGTGCGTTACTTAACCATGTCGATAATGCTACTAAGAATAAGTGTATGTATGCTACTTAACCATGTGGATGATACTAAGAGTACGTACGTTACTTACCCATGTGGATGGTACTAGGAGTAAGTGCGTTACTTAGCAAACCATCTGGATGGTTCTAAAAGTAAGTGCTTTATTTACACAAATGGATAGTGCTAAGAGTAAGTGCGCTATTTGTCAGAAATAACTGAGCAGGAATGAATGAACTAGAACAGAGTTTGGTACAAGTAGTAAACCCTAACTTTGTGTACCCCCTAAGGTGTAACCCACTACAGCCTAGACAATATAAACATGCAATGTTTGACACACCCCCATAGGCGTAGTGGGAGACAACCACAGGGTCACAAGACCAGTCAAAGCAAAGTAAAGCAAGCTCAGGGTGGATCTCAAGGATTCCACACAAATTCCGAGCACAAGCAAGTGGTCTCAAGACCAGTTCACATGCAGGTTTATAACAAAGCAAGAGATACAGTGATCACAACCTAGCAAAAGTAAACAAGTAGGCATATATATATAGTGATCACAGTACAAGCAAGGTCAAGAGGTAAGCAAGTGAGGCCCAGTAGGTACAAGGCCTAGTAGAGTGCAAAAGCGCTGATGGTCACAAGGCTGAAGCGCCTTGGTGAACACATCAGCAGTGTTGGCCTCCGTGGCCACGTAACGCAGACAAAGCTGACCACGCTGCTGCAGCTCTCGAGCAAGGAAGTACCGCAGAGCGATGTGCTTCGTTCTGTGCTCCAGTCTGTGCTCCTCACACAAGGCAATGGCAGCCTTGTTGTCAACGTACAGCACTGGAGGAGAACGAGGCCGCTCTCCGAGGTCGGTCAGCAGGTAGGTCAGCCAGCGTAGCTCCTGAGCAGCCATGGCTGTGGCGTAGATCTCAGCCTCACAACTGGAGCTGAGAACAGAAGAAGAGCGAGTAGAACGCCAAGAAACTGAGCCAGAGCCAAGGCTGAAGGTGTAACCCTGGGACGACCGCTGAGTAGCCTGGTCGTCTGCCCAAGAAGCGTCTGAGTGCCCTGTGAGAACAACCCGGTCTCGCCCTCCAAGCACAAGCCCCATGCCCGACGTACTGCACAAGTAGCGCAACACCCTCTTAGCAGCATCCATGTGCTCCTTCCGGTGACGGCCAGGAGCGACATAGCGTGCTAGGATGCTAAGAGGGTATGCAAGGTCAGGTCGAGTGCAGGTCATCAGGTACATGAGGCAGCCCACAAGCTCTGGATACGGGCCACTCGGCTCTACGGACTCATCCGAAGGCAGAGCTGAGAGCGAGTGACCGGTAGGCAGAGGAGTGGACTGAGGCGAGGAGTACGTGAAGCGGAAGCGCTGGAGAACCTGCTGCACCATGTGTGACTGAGTCAGGGTGATGGTGCGCCGCGCTCTGTCCCGGGTGATCCGCAAGCCAAGATAGCTCGTCAGCTCACCCAGGTCTGTGCACGTGTGTCTCCTCTGCAGCTCCGACTTCACGTGAGCGAGTGCCGCGGTGTCAGCAGTGGCAAAGACCAAGTCGTCGACGTACACGAGGATGTAGAACGGCGGCAGCGAGGTGTCGGTGCGTAGAAACAGCGACGGGTCAGCAGTAGAGGGAGCGAACCCAAGAGCCGCAAGTGTCGTCCTCAGTGTGTCGTGCCACTCACGTGGCGCCTGGCGGAGACCGTAGACCGGCCGCTGAAGCCTCCACTGGGTGCCAGGAGGAAATGACCCAGTGAAGCCAGGGGGGCGGCGCAGCCAGATCTCCTCGTGCAGGCTGCCCTGCAAGAAAGCAGTGCTGAAGTCAAGAGAGTGAAGCTCGTAGTCGCGGTGAGCGGCTATGTGCAGCAGCACCCGAAGAGTAGTCATCTTCGGGGTGGGGGAGAAGGTCTGAAAGAAGTCTACTCCCTCTCGCTGACTGAAGCCTCGAGCCACGTAGCGCGCCTTGAAGACAGGTGGAGAACCCGGCGGCCGCTTCACCCTGAAAATCCACATGCCACTGACGATGTTCGCCCCAGGAGGGGGAACCTCGTCTACGTAGGTGCCTGTGGACTTCCAGGAGGCCATCTCTGCGTCCATGGCTGTCTGCCATTGAGAGGAGTAGGGACCCGCTATCGCCTCAGCGTAAGAGCGTGGGGTCGGGATGTCTGGTGCATCCGGGTCTCCCTCAGGGGCAACTAGCAAGGACACGAGACGGGGCAAAGCAGCAGCAAGGCAGTGGAACTCCTCCTGTCTGTCCTCAAGGACGTCCGTGCCGAGGGCACACTCACCCCCGACGGACGGAGGACAGGCAGACGCAGACTCAGACCTAGCGACAAGGCTGGCAGCGTAGTCTAGGCGACAGCGAGCAGCAAAGTCAACCAACTCAGCGACCAGAGCAAACGCAGCAGAGGACTCAAAGGTCGGGTCAGTGACAACTGTAGCGAGGAGACGCGTAACAGTGGGACTGGCAGCACGACGGGAGTCAGACTCCGGGTCAGGAAGAGTAGGAAGAGAGGACGCAGGAGGAGACGGCAGCGGGACACGCTGCGGAGCAGTGGAGGGACGCAGAGTCATGTAATGAGTGCCAGGGACAGGAGGAGGACGCTCACGTGGGACACGACGACCAGTGCGAGCAGTACGAACAGGCGACGCAGGACGAGACTCAGGCTCACGACGCTCTGTAAGACCTCCTGTGGGACCAGCGTAAGGGGAGGGAGCAGGGAGAGGCGAGACAGGCGGTAACTGTGACTGCGGCTGGACAGGCAGAGGACACTCGACGGAGGAAGGAGGACAAGGAGGAGGAGCCTGACCAAGAACCTGCTGAAGGAGCGGTACGAAGTACGGTCGCGGCCGCGCAGCGTCTCCAGAAGCAGCAGGGACACCAGTGGCAGCCCCAACGCCCGAGTCCTCAGCACCAGCAGCAGCTCCAACGCCCGAGTCCTCAGCACCAGCAGCAGCACCACCGGTCGGGTCCTCAGCACGAGCAGCAGCTCCAACGCCCGGGTCCTCAGCACCAGCAGCAGGGGCACTGGTCAGGTCCTCAGCACCAGCAGCAGCACCACTACGAAGACTGCAGCGCCGCGTGTACCACTCGCGGATCACCTGAATGGGGGGGAGCTCCTGGGTAGGAGGGGAAGTACCGGGACGAGCTCCAGAAGCACCTCTCCGGAGGCGGCAGTACTCGAGGTACCTCTCCTGCAGCTGCTGGGAGGAGAGGGCTCCTCCAGATGGAGTACCCCCAGACTCAGCACCCCCAGACTCAGCACGTCCAAACTCAGCACCACCAGGCTCCGCACCTCCAGGCTCAGCACCCCCAGGCTCCGCACCTCCAGGCTCAGTACCTCCAGGCTCCGCACCTCCAGGCTCAGCACCCCCAGGCTCCGCACCTCCAGGCTCAGCACCCCCAGGCTCCGCACCTCCAGGCTCAGCACCCCCAGGCTCCGCACCTCCAGGCTCAGCACCCCCAGGCTCAGCACCCCCAGGCTCCGCACCCTCAGACGCAGCACTCCCAGGCTCAGCACCCCCAGACGCAGGACGCGAGTCAACAGCTACCTCGACAGGCTCACTCGGGTCTACCTGGGACACACCTGAGGGAGCGGCACCCTGAGGGGGGAGGGGGTCTGGTACCTCAGCACCTGGAGCGAGGAAGAGAGGCGGGGGGGGGAGCGGGGCAGTGCGGTAGGGGAAGAGGCGGTAGAAGGGGACGGACTCGTCAAAAGTGACGTCCTGAGAGGCCAGAACCCGGCGCGAGGTGACGTGGTAAAACTGCCATCCAGGCGCGTCGGGAACAAAGCCAAGAAAGACACAGGGAACAGCGCGACGCGAGAGCTTGTCCGCGGACGTGTCGCGGACAAAAGCTCGAGATCCCCAGACCCGGAAACGCGACGCATCGCCAACCTCTCCCGTCCACCGTAGAGTCGGGGAAGTCTCCGGCAAGGAGACACGGGGCCAGAGGTTGAGCTGATGCGCTGCGTACCGGACTGCAAACGGCCACAGAAAGTGGGGAGCAGCCGCATGGGTCAGGGAGGTACGAGCGACCTCCATGACTAAGCCAATGCGGCGCTCAGCAACCCCATTCTGCTGTGGAGAGGCCGGAAGCGTGTACGACTGCTCAATGCCGTGCTCAGCACAGTAGGCTGCCAAGAGGTCGGAGGCGAACTCACCACCCCTGTCAGAGTGCAAGCGCAGGACAGGAAAGTCCGAGTGAAAGCGCTCGCCTAGCTGGAGACGGGCTCGGCTGATCCAGGGGATCAAAACACCAGGGACGTCACCCTTGGCGCGCAAGGGGAAGACCGTGGTGTAGCGCGAGTAGTCGTCAACAACTATCAGGAAGTACCTCTCCTGACCCTGACCACGGACGCGGGCTGGGCCCCACACGTCCATGTGGAGCGTCTGCAGGGGAGCGGTCGTCGGGGGAAAGGAGGAGGAGTGAGGAGCGGCGCGCTGCCGCCCCTCGACACAGGGAATGCAGTCAGGAGCAGGGGAGTCAGGAAGGGGAGGGAGCACCCTGGGAAGACCAGCAACAAGGTCCCGTTTGTGCATGGCCCGCAGGCGCTGCACAGACGGGTGACCAAGGCGGTGGTGCCAGAGGACGGTGTCGTTCGCCAGAGAGCGACACGAGCAGGGGGCGGACAGCTGACCTGACGCTGACGCAGACGCAGCTACCTGAGGGGACTCAGTGGTCAGTGTGTACAGGTCAGACCCCGGCTCTCGAGTGAAAGTAGCCAGGTGGCGGCCCGTCCGAGCACACGTGCAGTGGGTCACACGCTCGTAGGCAGGGGTGAACTGGTGAACACCCGAGTCCTGGAGCGCACTACCTGCCACCAAGTTCGTGGAGAACGAGGGGAGGTAGAGACCTGAGAGCTTGCCGGACGGAACCGCTGGACACGGAAGGGTGGTGGAGGAGGTCGCAAGGACCGGACCCCCAGAGGGGTCAGCAAGAGAGACAGCAACCGGCCGAGCTAGAGGCTCAAGGACAGTGCGGTCACGAAAGAAAGAGCGAGAAGCACCTGAGTCAAGTGTGAAGGTGTGCAGTGCTGCAGTCGACTCAGTACCAGGGGGCACAGACGCAGAAGCACCTAGAGCAGCAGCTGCAGTAGTACCTGTGGAAGCAGACACACTAGCACCTAGAGCAGCAGCAGGGCTGGCCTGAATGCCCGGGTCGGGCGGAACACGCAAGTACTGAGCACCCTCTCCACTAATAGACATCGCATACATGGCAGTGAGAATAGCATCAAAGTCAAGTGCCCAAATATCAACACCCTTCCTGAGCAGATCAGCCCAGCGCGGCAGCTCACCCCCACCAGGAAACTGAGTGCGCCACGCATCGTTGAGGCGGGCGAAGCAGCGCTCCGTCTGGTGCGGCCCCCCACACGTCTGGCCAGTGCGGTCACCTGTACGAATAACGTACTGGCAGGTGACGCTGCGCCGCGCATACCACTCACGGGCGGCCTGAAGGGTCGGGGCAGGCTGCTGACTCTGACCGCCCGCCGGGCCTCCACGACCACCACCCCCTCCGCCTCCGCCCCGGCCACCTCCACCCCTGCCGCTGCCACGACCACCTCCGCCTCCGCTGCCACCTCCGCCCCTGTCACCACTCCCAACACCGCTGTCACCTCCACCACCGCCGCCACTAGCCTCTCCAGTCGCACCTCCACCGCCACCACCTCCACCCCCGCCTCCTCCGCCACCACCCCCACTCCTGCCACTCCTGCCCCTGCGTCGTCCGCCTGAAGCAGACGCAGCCCCGACCTTCTCAGCACCAAGGAGGTCGACAGCAGCAGCAGAGGCGACAGAGGGGAGGAGGGGGGAAGGGGAGCACCCCTCGAAGAAGGGGCCGCGGGGGTCGCCACGAGAGGTGCCTACAGCGACGATACTAGCCTCGGCTGCAAGCAGTTCCTTCTCGAGGAGGGCTATGGTGAGCTCAGTGGGGGAGCGAGAGAGGAACTGGTCCCTGACAGGGCGCAGAGAGTCAGGGAGGCGGGTGACAACGTGGTAGAGAGTGATCCAGAGCGGGGGGGGGTTGCTAGCGAGGAACTCATCAGGCATGGCAGCGCGAAAGCGAGCCTCACTAGTCTTAAGGTGGGTGATGAGGTCTGCGACAGTGTGAAAAGAGGCTAGGTCGGGGAACAGGTAGGGGAGAGTGAGGCGGCCTAGTGTGGCAGAAGCGGGTGAGGAGTAGCGGGCCACTACAGCTGTGTAGAGGTCCTTAGCAGTCTTGCACTGGCCGAAGTGCTCGCGCTCATCTAGCGGCAGGGAGTTGCGAATAGCAAAGCGAGCGTGCGCGTCACGGGTCTGCCACTGTGAGCGCTCAGTTGGGGGGGCAGTAGCGAGTGGGGCGGTCGCATGGCCGAGAGCGTGGTCGTACAGTGTAATATCTTCCTTGGCAGTGAGCTGTAGGAAAAGGTGCAGATCATCTAGCCAGGTTTCGAATTTGACCGGACGGCCCTCGGCGTCGAACGCTAGAACAGGAGGACTAGCCATAGCGACAGCGGCAGTAGTAGAAGCAGTAAAGTCACTGAACAGGCGTGCGCAGGGTCAGCAGGGCCGGTGGGGCCTACGGACTGTAGTGGCGCACAAGCAGCAGTAGCAGGAAGTGTAGTAGTAGGATCTGCAGTGGTGCACAGGCGCAGCAGGCGGCAGCGAGAGCCGGCGCAGCAGGGGCGGGCTCAGCAGCGGTGATACGCGGGCGGCAGCGGGCGCAGCAGCGGCGGTGCGCGGGCGGCGGCGAGCTCAGCAGCGGCGGTGCGCGGGCGGTGGCGGGCTCAGCAGCGGCGGTGCGCGGGCGGCTGCGGGCTCAGCAGCGGCGGGCCGGGAGCAGTGCGGGCAGCGTGCGGGCCGGCGGCGGTCAGCGCACGAGCCGCGCAGGCTCAGCGCGGGCTGCGCGGGCTGCTCGCGGGCTGCGTAAGCGGGTCGCGGGCGGCTCGCGGGGGTTCGCGGGCAGGTCGCGGGCTGCTCGCGGGCAGTTCGCGGGCTGTGCGCGGGCTGCGCGGGCTGGTCGCGGGCTGCGCAGGCGGGTCGCGGGCTGTGCGCGGGCGGTTCGCGGGCTGTGAGCGCGGCGCGCTGTGCGGTTCGCGGGCGGCGTGACGGGGCCGATCGGGGCGCTAAGGGGCGACGCGACGGGGGCCGTGAGAGGCCGCTAAAAAAAAATTTCGACGGGGCCGCAGGGCCGCTAGATCTTGCTAGATCGACGGGGCCAGCGGGGCCGGAAACAAGCGAAGGTAAGCAGGTAGGTAAGTCGGTGGGCCCTAAGAACAGTCCTAGCGAAGGACCTGCTCTGAAACCATGTCAGAAATAACTGAGCAGGAATGAATGAACTAGAACAGAGTTTGGTACAAGTAGTAAACCCTAACTTTGTGTACCCCCTAAGGTGTAACCCACTACAGCCTAGACAATATAAACATGCAATGTTTGACACTATTTACCAATGTGGATGATACGAAGTGTACGTGTGTTATTTACCCATGTGGATGGTACTAACAGTAAGTGCGTTACTTTACCATGTGGATAGTACTAAGAGTAAGCCATGTGGATGGTGCTACGAGTATGTGGGTTTCTTAACCATGTGGATGGTACTAAGAGCAAGTGCGTTACTTACCCATATGGATGGTGCTACGAGTATGTGTGTTACTTACCTATGTGGATAGTACTAGAAGTAAGTGTGTTGTTCACTGATGTGGATGGTACTCAGAATAATTGCGTTACTTACCTATGTGGTTGGTACTAAGAGTAAGTGCGTTACTCACCCAACTGGATGGTGCTATGAGTATTTGCATTACATAACCATGTAGGTGATACTAAGAGTACGTGCTTTACCTTCCCATGTGGATGGTGCTAAGAGTATGTTCGTTACTTATCCATGTGGATAGTACCAAATGTAACTGCGTTACTTACCTATATGGATGGTACTAAGAGTAAGTGCGTTACTTACCCATGTGGATGGTGCTAAGAGTATGTGCGTTACATAACTATTTGAATGGCACTAAGAGTAAAGGCGTAACGTATCCATGTAGCTGGTACTAAGAGTAAGCGCATTACTTACCTATGTGGATGGCACTAATAAAAAATGTGTTACTTACCCATGTGGATGTTACTAAGAGTAAGTGCGTTACTTACCTATGTGGATGGTACTAGAAGTAAATACATTCTTTACCGTTGTGGATGGTACTTAGTGGAATTGCGTCACTTACCCGTGTAGATGGTACTAAGAGCAAGTGCGTTACTTACCTATGTCCATGATACTAAAGGTAAGCGTATTACTTACCCATGTGGATGGCACTGAAAATACATGCGTTACTTACTCAAGTGGATTGTACTATGAGTAAGTGCGTTACTTACCCATGTAGATGGTACTAAGAGTAAGTGCGTTACTTACCCATGTGGATGGTGCTAAGAGTATATGCGTTAGTTAACCATGTGGATGTTACTAAGTGTAAGTGCGTTACTTACCCATATGGATGGTATCAAAAATAAGTGCTTTATTTGTTTGTGTTACAACCCTAATCAAACTCAATACCTCTCCTCGGGGTCTGCTCCAAGGGTCCTTAGATGTCTCGTACAAGTCCGAGTTGGTAGAGAGAGGAACTAACAATGGCGAGAGTACCTTGTACGTCGCACAGCGTGCCTCCGATAGTTTAGATTTAGCTGAGAATTTATTAGATCAAAGCTCCCTCCAAGCATTTAAATTAAGCCAAGTTGCCTCGCGAAAAGCATTTGCCCAGCATCGGAGTGCTAGCGTACTATCGTCGACTCAGGTAGCATTTCGCCATCGAACCGCGTAAAAACGAAATTCCAGCAATGAATCAAATTGACTATATCCAGGTACAAACAGAAATGAAATAAATAGTTCTAGCTAGCAAGGACCTTGGGAATCAACCTGGGAACAACCAGGGATGATCCCAAATGATTCCAAGCAACATGCGGAGATAACTCTAGCAACGGGAGCTTGACTACGGGGAAGGCACGTTGTGTGAGAGGGATCTCTGCGTTCTTGGTTCCTTAGTCGTTTTCCTAGTGCACACACTACTTGCTAGTTCACAAGGAGATTTGGCAAGAGTTTCACTAGAGAAAGTTGACAACAATGATACAAAGAAGTTGGCAAGGCAAGACTACATCAGATCTAGCATGCAAGCAGGACGACTGCCAGCGCAGCACGGTCGACCGCGTGCCAGCACGACTTGGTCGACCGCGCTCCAGCAGTGCAGAGTCGTGGCTTGCCAATGCTGCAGGTCGACGGCGTGACAACAGCGCAAGTCGACGGCGTGCCAACGTTGCTCCCGCAGGACAGCAGCGCACCTACTTCGCAGGTGCTCGCAGATGATTGGCGTGCAGTGCCTCGTCACCTGCACAACGCACACACCACATCAACTTCGTGCTGACGACTGCTTCTGATGCACCACGTCGACCTCGGGATACCATCACCGAGGTCGTCCTCGCCAAAACCACCTGGGCGACCATCGCAAGCCTTCGCAGCACCTCGTCACCCAGGAAACCTGGTCGACCGGGCAACCAGGTCGACCAGAGGCTCCAGTGCGTGCCCGTCGACCACCCAGGTCGACGACCACTTCCGGTCGACCTCCCAGGTCGACCACTGCCTCTGGTACGTGCCGGTCGACCTCCCAAGTCGACGGCCACCTCCAGTCGACCTCCCCAGGTCGACCACTATCCCCTGGTCGACCAGCTCCAAGTCGACGTCACTCCTGGTCGACCAGAAGGCCTGGTCGACTTCCCAGGTCGACCAGAAGGTCTGGTCGACGTCCCAGTTCGGACAGAAGGAGTTGGTCGACGTCCCAGGTCGACCAGAAGGGCTGGTCGACTTCCCAGGTCGACCAGAAGGTCTGGTCGACGTCCCAGGTCGACCAGAAGGGCTGGTCGACGTCCCAGGTCGACCAGAAGGTCTGGTCGACGTCCCAGGTCGACCAGAAGGGCTGGTCGACTTCCCAGGTCGACCAGCCGAAGTTGGCGCCCTCCTGAAGTCGGCGCTCATGCAGTGGCTCCCCGTGCAGGTCGACCAACCTCGTCGACCAACTCGCCCACTGCTGCAGGTCGGCTGCACCCTACACCCAACCACGAAGTCGGCTCCGCCCAAGCGAGGACGGGGCCAACATACAACTCCTGTTGACACTCCCCTGCCGCGTTCACGCTTGGGCCCCCAGCCCACACGACAGTACTTCTCGGAGACAAGCTCGTCGACGTGCACCCAACACACAGCACGTCATCCACCGCACCAGCCATGCAAGAGGGCATGGCACCTACTACTGCACGTCGTCGTCGCCGTCGCCCACGTCGGCCAGACGCACTTGGCCGATTGCAACGGAGCACCGGTTGAAGGTTGGATAGTGCAGCGCCTTCGTGAGGAAGTCGGCCGGCTGCTCAGCGGTCGGGATGTACTGTAGCGCAAACTTCCCCCGCTTCACCATGTGCTGCAGCCAGGCCTGTCGCCGCTCCATGTGCTTGAGGTTGCCCGTCAACCCCATGCCCTCGGCGACTGTGATGGCCGACTTGTTGTCCACGCGAAGGGCGGTTGGCTTCCCAGCATCGAGCTGCTGAAACTCGGCCAGGAGGAAACGAAGTTGGCGTCCCTCCTTGCCGGCTTCGACGGCCGCCACGTACTCCGACTCGGTCGACGACAGCGTCGCGCACTTGATGCGCTGGCTCGACCAGGAGACTGCGGCCCCTCCGTAGACGAACACGTAGCCGCCCGTGCTCGACCTGTTCTGCTTGTCGCCGGCGTCGTCAGCGTCCACGTAGCCGACCAGCTCCAGCGACTCCGGACCACCGCCGAACTCCAAGGCGGTGTCACGCGTGCTGGCGAGGTAGTCGTGGCAGCGGTCGACCTCGCGCCAGTGCTGGTCGCTCCTCACCGTGAGGCCGCTTCCCAGCTTGCTGCAGGCGAAGGCGATGTCCGGCCTCGTCGTCGTCGCCGTGAACTGCAGCGAGCCGACCTTCTGCCGGTACTCCTCCTGTCGCTCCTGTGCCTCCTCGTCATCGAAGGTGAGCTCGGCGTAGGCGTCGACCGAGACCGGCGTCTTCGGAGTCCGTCCGCCCTGCTCCTCGTCGATGAAGCGCCTACGCAGCTTGTCGGCGTAGCCCTGCTGGTGCAGCCACAGCTTCCCCGCCGACCTGTCGCGCACGATCTCTAGCCCGAGGTACTTCTGCACCGGCGAGATCTCGCGCAGCTCGAAGGCGGCCTCCAGCAGCTCCTTCAGTTCCTTCAGCATCTCGGGGCTGCTGCTGGCGGCAAGCAGGTCGTCGACGTAGACCAGCACCCAGCAAGTCACTCCGTCGTCGCCGACCTTGAAGTACAGAGCCTCGTCGACCTGGCTCTTCTTCCACCCAGCGCCGACCAGCACGTCGTTGAGCGCCAAGTACCACAGCAGCGGCGACTGCTTTAGCCCGTACAGGCTCTTCAGCAGCTTGCACACCCGGCCGGATCCGTCGTTGAAGTAGTCCGGCTGCGACATGTACAGCACCCGGTCGAGCTT